AAGCTGGGAACCACCTCCCCCCACCCCTACCCCCCAAGTCCATGGCTTCACCTTCCACCTGCATGTTCTTGATCTAGCTCGGTCTCTTTGCTGATTTCTAGCACAGCATTTCAGATGATTTATTGCCTGACTGAATATTTCATAGACACCTCGAAGTCAGCTTGTCCCAGAGGGAAACCATCATCTTCACCTCAGTGTCCATTCTGTAAACGACTGATAAACAGTCAGCTAGACCCCTTCCATATCCCATATCTGTCTTGGGCAAATGATACCAACATCTACTCAAATGCTGCACCTACACATCTGGGACACATCTTGAGGCTTTTCTATCATGATATCACTCGAATAGTCCTCCTCGAATGTAAATCTGACCATGGACTTCTACAAGTTCAATGGGTTCCCATTACCTGAAATCAATACTTGAAATCATTTAGGCTGTCAATCAAAGCATTCCCTGGTCCCTGGAGATCTTTCCAGCTTCTTCTCTTCCACTTGTTCTTCTAAGACTCAGCTCGTGAACGTTCTCCTATGTGAATTTTCCTGCACTACACAGACATTTACTCCTGTCCCTTGGGTATAGTGAGGTGGCACCCTTCTCTGTTGATACAGAACTGTGTGAACATATAAAACATTTAACATATATAACAATTGTGGTGTACATCTGTCTGCCTTGCTATACTATGACAGCAGATAGAGTTTCTCATTCATCTTTGTATTACCAGAATTTAGCAGGGACTGTTCCATTGGGGTGCTCTCTGTATTTTTTTCTTTTGTTGAATATGTATTTGGATCAGACACATATACTTGGGTATACTCTTAGATATCTGATTGGAACAAACTCTGAGTGAGTCCCTATGGCAAATTTCCCTTCCCTGGGCAGTGGGGCTGCTCCTTGACCCAGCTTACAAGTAGTTTTCTGCAACCTACATCAGTACTTCAAACTGCCACTCAACTCCTGAAATTCAAGAGTTTACTGTCAACTGTGATTCTAGAAGAATAAACCTGTGGGAAAAATGCTTAATTACTTATTTAGGAATACAGATTTACTTGGCTTTGTGTTTCATAAAGATTCATAGACTGATGCCCCTAAAGATGAGCTGTTTGTCTTAATTATAGAGATGAGCTATCTACTAGATAGACCCCGAACCTATCCAGGACAGAATTCTAACATACTGTCAACTTACTTGAACTTATGGAAGACCTGTAAAAAGCTGGCATTTATTATAATTTTAATATACTTTTTGACAATGGAATCTGAGGCTTAGGGATTATTTTAGTCTCCCCGGGCTGCTATAACCAAGTACCATAGTCTGAATGGATTACATAGGAAACAGCTATTTTCTCACAGTTCTGGAGACTGGAAATCCAAGATCAGGGTGCCAGCAAGGTTGGGTTCTGCTGAGAGCAGTCTTCCTGGCTCGCTGATCGCTGCCTTCCTGCTGTGTGCCCACATGGTCTTTCCTCGGAGACTGCATGTGGAGACAGAGCTCTGGTGTCTCTTCCTAGGGCATTAATCCCATCACAGAGCCCCCACGGTCATGACCTCATCTAAACCTAATTACCTCCCGTAGGCCCCACATCCAAATATTACATTAGGGATTAGGGCCTCAACATACTAAGCTGGTGGGGGGAGGGAGGCCACAAAAACATTCAGTTCATAAACCGATTAAACCACTTTCGTATGGATACTCAAATAATCCAGTAGTAGGGCCAATGCTGACTCCAAGTATTGTTTTCGTTTCCCTGATAATGTGTCTTGATTGCTTTGTATACATGGGTACTCAAATAATAGCATTTCAAAAAGCAAAATGTTACTCATTCTCATTACCTCTGGTATGTTCCCCCAAATGTGAACCTCCCCTTACTGCTTTCTTCATGTATGTTTGGCCATATTTCTCATAGTCGAAGACAAAACAGGTTCTCCCTCCATCTCACTCTTTAAAGTTTACTCAGGAAAAAAACAAAACAAAACAGGCTTTCGGTGCTTCTGGCAATTTTATTCTAACACAAGTAGCACCCAGATTGTAATTCTGATAAGTATTTCAGTACTTTCTTGAAAAATTAAATTCACAAAACAATTGATTATCAGTTATAAATGGCAAAAACACCATCTGGTTTTCAAAATTGGTTACATCCATGCAGCAAAGGGAAAAAATGTTGGAACTTGTTGTTGGCGAGGAGTTCTAGTCCACGAAGCAGAAAATGACGCGCTTTACTATGAGAAAGCCAGAGTAGTCATAACTTGTACTTCGCAGCTGCGGGAATTTGATCCGTTCGTCACATGTTCCATATGTTAACTCGCTTGGCAAGATCTTCAGTGTTGAAGAGCTGAGGGTGGGAGAGGAGTGTGGCAAGTCCACAGGGTAGCAACAGCTGAATCCTAAATTTTCAGCCCTGGCTCCTTCGATGCAGGCCCAGCACACAAGGTATCCCACGACCTGAGAAGTTCAATGTGCCAGTTCCTTAAACTGAGGACACACATGACATTTTCTGGGTGGAAATTTCTAAAGCGATTTGCATTCCTCTGGTGAGGTACGTCATACAGCATTAGCATTTCCTACAGAGACGTCCCATGTTGCTCTTTGCCAACTGGGAATTTGAGTAGGTGTTCGTTTGATGTGCCAGGAGAATGAAGGGAGATAGAAACACACCACATCTTCCAGTGCCCCCAGACTGTATTCCTGGTGTGGGAGGACTGGGGCCTGACGAGATTCTCCTGGAGTTTCAACCTTATGAGGAATGCTTTTCCTTAGGAGTCAAATGCAATCCTGTTTTGTAAGAAAATGTTTCTGAATTGATGGCATATTTTCACTTTATGTTAAAAATCTAGCTCTCCTATGCTTATTATTCATGCATTGTAATGCAAAATTTATTCATTCACTTAACAAATATTTATTGAGGCACAGTATAGCATCATGGTGAGTTACCTAAGTTTTGTCTGCACCTTGGAAACTCTGACCTTGGGGCAGTTGCTTAAGCTTTCAAACCATATTTTACAAATCTAAAATGGGAGATAATATATATCACGGGAATTGTTCCAAAGGATTAAGTGAGATCATGTGTGCAAAATAATAGAACTCAATAAATGCAAAAAAGTAGTAATAGTAATAATGGCAAATATAAATATTACTCTGTGCTAGGGTGCTAGAGGTCCTGGCATAGAGGACCTTACTTCATAGTTTACGTATCACTTTTAGCACATATACGGCCTTAGATTTTTTATCCTGATTTTCGTGGGACTGTGCTTTGCATTTGGTCTGATCTTGGTGGCTTCACTTTCAGAGGTGGTAAGAATAAGGAAGACTGCAGACTGGACTTTATCCTGGCGCCCGTGCAGTGATGGTTTCCTGCCTCAAGTAGTACTGCTTGCCTGCTCTAGCTTCCCAGACTTCTGGAGGACTGCCTGCAGTTCATGCATCAGGGCCTGTAATTACAGAGTAGAACATCCAGGGCTGTGAAGACAGGACAGTCCTGAAATTAGTTTATGCATAATGGATAAATAGGAGGCTGTTTGTAAGTGTAACTCATTTGGTGGGTTGGCAGATCTTGACTTCCATTTTGATATGTAATACTTATCTATCTATCTATTTATCTATCTATTTATTATTATTTTTTTTAGCAGAGGACAGAGGGCCTGGCAAATCATTTGGTGCATGTCTTCTAGTCTGTAGCTCAGACTTGGCAATTTACATTCAGTAATCTCTTGGTCATTTAGCCACAGATAATTTGTCATGGTTTGTTTTAGCTGTTGTGATATTGATATTTATTATGCAAATTGTATTTCCTACATCTTATTGTTCTGCATTCTATGAATACTTAAATTATTATAAACCTTTACACTTAATATGGCTCGTCCTTCAATTTGATGCTTGAGCAACAGAGGGTCAGAGCTCACACGATCTTCTGGAGGGGAAGAAAATAAGTAATTAAAAAGCAGACAAACAAGAGAGCCGGCTGCCTGCTTGAAAAGAAAGCAAAGGCAATTTCGGGGAGGGAGGGTGAGTCCATAGAAGCAAGTCGCTTCAGCTGGGAGAGCCTCTCCCGGAAACACACGAAGCTTAGAGCACCTGTTGGTCCCCAGCCGCCCCAAGGACTAGGGGTCTAGGGGAGGAGGCAGCCGCCTTGAGCCCTGAAGGAGGAAGATGGCAAACCCTACCTTCAGCCCCGTCCACTCTCCACCCAGAAGCCTTGAGATAAACGTTTTTTAAGTGTGTGTAATCGCAAATGTATATTACATGTATCATATGTATTAAATACACATACATATTAAAGCCAGGAAGGAGACCTTGAGCAGGCTGGGGAGCCCTAGCCGACCCCCTCGATCTACCTTTCCCCAGAATCTACCGCAGACAACGACTCGAAAATCCCACAGCCCGCCTGGGGCTCCTTCCTCCTACTACGCCCAAATCTACCGCTAGGTTGTCGAGCGGGCTCTCCCGCTCCGCCGGACGTGCAAAGCACGCATGCACTTCTTCCAGATTGTTTTGTCAATCCGGGGACCTGCATTCTCACTCTCCGCTCCCGAACAGCCCCCGCTTCCCAAAGAGCTATTCCTCTGGTGCCAGGTGAGTGGCGGAAATTTGCAACGTCTGGTTTCCAGGGAAGATGCGCTCGGCGGACTGGGCAAGGGAGCCTCCCAGGGAGAGTCTGCGGTCGTCGGTCTGATGCAGCGACTGCTATATACATTCCTAATAAAGGTGCAGGGAAGCTAGACCCGCCCCTGGAGCCCGGGCGCCCACACTCCCGGCGCCAGGAGGACACTTTTCCCTTGATCCCGGGGAGCTACAAGGAATTTCACCACAACATTTGCATACGCCCCTCCCCCGGCCCCGCCCCTAGGTGGCGCGGGCGCGCCGCCGAACGCCTGCGCCGGGGGTGCGGGTGGGGGAAGGGGCGAGTCCTCTGAGAGCCGGGAGGGACTCGCGGCGCTGTGATTGGGCGGCCCGGACTCCGCCTCTGGCGCATGTCATTAGCATCTCATTAGCGGTCCGCTCGGGCTCCCGAGGAAGCCTCCGCCGCCAGTCTGAGGCAGGTGCCCGACATGGCGAGTGCTGTGCTGCCGAGCGGATCCCAGCGTGCGGCGGCGGCGGCGGCGCCTCCCGGGCTCCGACTCCGGCTTCTGCTGTTGCTCCTCTCCGCCGCGGCACTGATCCCCGCAGGTAGGTGTGGGCGCCGACCGGCCGGCCCCCGAGTCTCCTGAGGCACCCCAGGAGCCGTAGCCGCGGAGGGGGAACGTTTCCATGACAACCTTCCCCCACTTCCTAAACCCGAGCGGGAGGGAGCGCGGAAACTCGGGGCTGCGGGGCCGGCGACCCCCTTCTCCCTGCCGCCTGGCGTGAGCTGGCGCCCCGAGGGATGGCGCTCCGACACCTCCTCGCGGGCTTGCGCGGGGAGAGGCGGGTGGGGACGGGGGCCTGGGGCGCGAGCGCCCCGGGGAAGGGGTGGGTCGCCAGCACCCTCCACACCTCCGGACCCTCCGAAACTCAATGCCGTCCTCGTAACTTGGAGGTCCTCCCGTCCCCCGGGCTGCCCTTCCGCCTCCGCCTCTCCAGCGGGCCCCCTTTCTCCATCCCCGAAACCTCCTCGCGGCTGAGGAGCCGCCGCCTGCGGCGTGATTCCGCCCCGGCCCGCAGGACATCCCCAGACTTGGCCGGCGCCTCCTGCTTTCCCCGCGCTCCGCCTTCCCCCGCGGCCCTGGCCGCGCGTCCCTGCCGTGTCCCTCCGTCCGGCTGCGGGTCTCCTCGGCGCGGCTCCAGGCAGCGAAAGTTCCCGGGGCCCGGCCCCGCGGGGTCGCTTGCTGTCGCCGCCCCTGGGAAGGAGCCCGCAGCCCGCCTGCCCCGCGGCGTCCTCCGCCACGAGTGGGGGCACCGGATGTCCAGGCTGCGCGTCCTTTTCAGCAGCCCGGGGGCGGCGGAGGGAGCGCTCGCGGCCTCTGCGGCCGGCGGGCCCCCTGCGGGCCTCCGGGCGCCCCCTGGGCGCGGAGGCGTCTCGGGAATTGGTCCCGAGCGGCTCTGCACGCCCAGCGCCTCCCCTGAAGACGCGGAGCCTCGGCTGGAGCACGACGTGCCGGGCGCGTTGGCGCGGTCGGGAAAGAAGAGGGCAGTGTTCGCTTTTGTTAACAAAAGGGGCCGGAGCTCTGCCCCAGCGCAGAGGCCGCCGAGTGCCCCCTGCCTCCCCGCCCGCCGCCGCCGCGCTCCGCGCGCCCCGGGCCGCCTGCCGCGGGCTCCGGGCGGGAGCGGGGACTGCTGGGCGCCGGGCGCGGGGCTGCGGAGGTGCAGGAGGAGCCGCCGCAGGGCTCGGCGCCCGCGAAGCCCCTCCTTGCCGCTCAGGAGCTGCAGGACCCGCGAGCAACAAGTGGCGGAGGACACCGAGAGCTCAGCCCACGCCTGCGGAGCCCAGACCGCGGCCGGCGCAGCGCTGGGGCCACCGTGCCGCCCCCAGGCGCCGCTCGGCTCGGGCTGTGCCTTTTGTTTACACGCTAGAGGACACACAGTTACGTAAACACCGCAGGAGACACTGTAGGAAATGGGGATGTACGGGGTGCTAGCGCTGGATTTGGGGGATGCGGGGTCGGTCGCTTTCCCCCGAAGCTGGCTTGCAAGGGGGCTCGGCTTGAGGAGCCGAGTGCGGATGGGCAGGGGTGGGAGTGTGGCAGCAGCTTCCGTTCCAGAGCGCAGGATCCTTTCTTCCATGCTCCTGTCTGTCTCCGGATGTTGTTTATTGGTTTTCCTCTGTGAATTCTTAATTTACGAGTAACGAGATAATTGGGTGCAGCCGATGCCGGTGTGATTACAACTTCATTTCGGGGGCTGCCTCTGGATGGATTCCGTACAATGCTCCTGAGCGCGGCCCCTCGTGCGGCCGCGCGGCCCGGTACACGTGAGCGTGAGTAAAGGCCGGGCAGCTGGCTCAGGAGGCTGCAGAAAGGGGCAAGCTCTGGTCGCGGGCCGAGCCTTCTGGCTAGGGTGGGGGGCGTGCAGGGCCGCGGGGCAGCCGGCTGGGGCTACGTTGGGCCTCCTGCTGGCGCCCGCTCGCCGAAGGCACCTGCTTGAGCGGCGCTGTGTGTAACTCTCTCGCGGTAAAGTTGCCTCGCAGCGAGGGATGTGCTGGCTTGTCCAGGAGCGGCCTGGAACTCAGCCGTGCGTGTCAAAGCTACCAGGACACGCTGCTGCCAGTTACCATGGAAGCAGCTTCTTGCTCCTGTGTACATCCCTGTTTGTACGCTGTTATCAGATGGTGTTCAAATTGGAAGGTAATTGGGTTTGATTTGTAGTGAGGGGATGAGATGACTTTGTTTAAAGCTTCCCCCCCACCCCCCATTTTCATGCTTTTTTTGTGTGTGACGAGTTTGAGAAGGCGTCTTGGTTCCTAGGCTCCGAGAGTAGATTTCGGGCGGGCACCTGGGGACTGTTAGGCCTCAGTCCTCTCGGTCCCAGCTTTCTCGGAGGCCGTTAGTTCCCACTCGTAAGGCTAGGGAAACCTGTTGGTGATGCCTCCTGGCTTTATTAGCTGCTTCATTCACATCTTCTCTGGGATAGCCATCGCCTTGGTACAGGAGTCCGTCTGGTTCTGTCTTCCCCTGTCACTGGATCCATTTGTGTCCTGAAGAAAACCTCCCATCCCTTCTGCGGCCTTAGGATGAAACGGTTATTAATGAAATGCAGCCAAAATGGGGTTGTCTCGGCGTAGATCACACCTGTTAAACGTTTTAGGTGCATGAATGATGTTCCCCATCCCAAGTGAGCCGGTGGTTGACCACCCTTCCCCTCTCCCCCTTTACGTCGTCGGGCATTAGAGAGGATGGCAGATGGGTGGGGGTTTGTGGTGGGGCTGAGCTTTGCGTGTTGGGGCCTGCGGACCAGGTGGAGGGACTGTGCAGAAGAGCCCCCCTGCTGGTGTTGCCTTTTCCGCACCAAACTGAATAGCCGCAGGAGGGACTTGCACTTGTCCGTGATAGCTTTGATAAAATATCCCTCATTAATGCCACTTTATATTTACAGTGTGTCACTGGAGACGCACAAGGCTTCATTTAGTGACTTGTGTGACGAGACAAGCTTGCATTATTTGCCTGGGACGTTTTGCAGGAACAAGAGACCCATTGAGCTATCTTTTGAAATGAACAAATATGGAAAAGGGGGGGAATAAAAGCGCAGGCAGTTCTCTGGAACAAAGAGCTTTATTCATATGGATGTTGTACATGCTTTATCCAGTTCCCCCAGCGGCCCTCCTGGTAGAGACGGGAGTGGGGCCGGGAAGAAGCCGGCAGACTGGACGCTTCCGCCTCCTCTCTCCGTCCTGGCTTCTCGTCCTAATCTGAGCTGTTGCTCCTTGACTCCCTGACTGCTCATCTCGTTCCACTCCCTCTAAAGCCCCGGGAGGCAGCAGGTTCCTAGGTCTGAAAAGGAGATTTTGAAGTCCTTTCTCCCTGCTCTGAATTTCAAGAGAATAAAGTGCTGGCTACCTGTTGAGATTGATGGTCGTTGGAGGTCGAAGGGAAAGAGAGTGCCTTTTCTATGACCTGTGTCAAGAAGTGGTTGATAGCAAATACCAGACTGGTAAGATGTCTTGCGGTTGTAATGTTAACTTTATTATTTACTTTTATAAAGAAATGCTGTGGACACCAAATCCAAAGTTGTCATTATCATTAATGGTGCTCTTGGAGTTTTTAGTGACTTTTGCCCAGACTGGGTACATTTTTGGCCTCATACATAAGTGATATTTATATTATTCTATGGCCTGTATGTTGCTAAGTGAGTTTCAGGCTTTAAAAAAATTGGTAATATTGCTGTAAATATAAACTGTCCCATTCATTGGGTTTCTATATGTGACATTTTAATACCTAGTTGGCCACTTATAATTTACATTTGAAAAATGGTTTTGTGTATTTAGCCCCCAGCTTTTTTTTTTTATTGTGAGACTCTTTTAAGTTGGGCCAAACTAATCAATGCTATAATTTGAATGGAAATTTGTTAACATATAAAGAAAATTTGTAAGAAAAAATCCAAAGGATTCAAATGCTGTCTCTTTTTCTTGGGAAGAATAGTACTGACCATTCTGCTGGGTGTTTTTAACTGAAAATCCAGCACAGAAAGGAGAAATCACACAGCGACATCTGTTGCAGAATTGAAAATTTGCTGCTTTGAGTTGGAAGCAATTAGTCCCACATAAGCACCTAATAGTATCTGTGTGTGTGCACTCATATATATATATAACATACATATATGTATAGACACATATATGCAAATGTACAGAAACCCATTCAATGCAATATTCATATTCACATTTAAATTTAATGTGATGTAAATATTAAGTTAATATTCTTAATAGAATATGTAACATTTTAACACCAAAGCTCTTTTTCTTAACATTACCTGTTGAAATTAGAGATTCTTATAATCGTGGAATTTCTGAAAGGGGAAGGGTATTAGAAATCATCTTGTGAAATTCCATTATTTTGCGGTAAGGCAGCCAAAGACCAGAAAGGGAAAGTCCTTGCTTACTGCTGAACTGAGGCTAAGTTAACCATGCATCCTGGACGGGGAGCAGGACCCTTGATGTCCAGGCAGTGAACCTTCTATTCCACCTCCCAGCAGGGATGCCCAGAGAGGGATATGGATCACAGGTAGACAATACCTTGGCTAGGAATAGTTTGTATTCTGAAGACAGCAAGATTCATTGTTGTGTTCTAGGTAATAAACCCATGGATCAGAGGAATGACCTCTGGGAAGAAAGGACCAGTTCTTGGTAAGATTGTCTTTGGTGTTGACAAATGATTCTGAAACCTCTGGACTTTATTTGACAGCCACAACGTGAATGTTGTCCAGAGCACCTTCATAGGTGAGAGCACTGGGTTTATGTCACTGTAATAAGCCAAATGCGTGAAAACTAGGCTTCAGAAGCCTCAGCTTTAGATTTTTAAGCTTTCAATTTGTCCTTTGAAGGATTAATATTAACAGTAGAACTGGTTGCACATAACTAAGTAAAAAAGGAAGGGTTCTTAAGTCAAGAACAAGGGAACATTGTGATTTTCTTACCAGTACTCACTCCTTTTCATTAAGCAGAGAAAAAGCTGAGAATAATGTTGTTTTAAAGCAAAAACATTGTATTTATTTTTGTAAGATGACTTTTTAAAAATATTGATCATATTTAATTTTTTTAT